GTATTATTATTATTATTTTCTTTTCCCACTGGTGTGGGCATGCATTGTTCAAGATTATTATTATTATTATTAATATTTTTAAGAAGTAATTACAGTCAAATGAAAATGGATATATGATGATGGTGATATGTATGAATATCTGAGTTAAAATGCTCGAGTTAACACGAGTTATGTTTGTTGACTGTGGAGGAGAGGCACGAAAGTCTATTTGTGACCGACTGATACACTTTCTATAGCACGTAAAGAAAGATGTTGTACTTGTTTTAAATTAAAATTTTAAAAAAAATTAATAAAAAAAGAAAGAAAAAGAAAAGCAACGTGTAAAGGGGGATTCAATCATCCAGGCCAAAAGTACCTCAAAAGGTTCAATCGTGGCCACCGGACTAAAGTTGACTGGAAATAACACCCGGACTCTCTGCCTGCCCAAAGTCTCCTTGAGACGGAAGACTTGGAGGAGCAGCGAAACGTCTCTGTTTTAATCAACTTTGGTCCAGTTGCCACGAAAAGCATCACCCGGGAGAAGCTTTTGGCCCGGATGATGGAGTCTTCACTGGCGTCTTGGAATCCTCCCCCTTGGGCAGCCCTTTCCCGTATCTCGGCCACGAGGTGCAGCGGGGGGGGGGCAGCCAGGGAGCCCCCTCCTCTGCCTCACCAGACCTTGCCCCTCCGCCTCACTCCCCAGTAACCCCCCCCCCCGGGGGGCTTTGCTTGCAGTGGGCAATTCGCCATCGTGAAGCGTTGCCGGGAGAAGGCCACAGGGCTGGACTACGCGGCCAAGTTCATCAAGAAGCGGCAGAGCCGGGCCAGTCGCCGCGGGGTCCGGCGGGAGGAGATTGAGCGGGAGGTGAAGATCCTGCAGCCGATTCTGCACAGCAACATCATCCAGCTGCACGAGGTGTATGAGAACAAGACGGACGTGGTCCTTATCCTGGAGCTGTGAGTGGGGGCTCTGGGGGGGGTGTTGGCTGCTCCCCCCCTCTCAGAGGCGTCTCTGGGAAGGGTGGAGGGCATTAACTCTTTCATTGCTGGCTGGGGAATTCTGGGAGTTGAAGTCCACCAATCTTAAAGCTTGAGAAAACCCCATTTCATCCACACGGAGAACCCTCCAGTTTATGAGGCGATTCTGGGTCTCTGCTTCTTGTTTGCCTAGAATAAAAACCAATCTAGCTGCAGATCAGTTGAGGGTTCCTGCTCTGCTTATGGAGATCTCCTCCCTTCACCCAGGCAATGGCTGAGCCACCTGTGGGCCTCCCACCAACCCCATCGTGCCTCCACTTGGCTCCTCTGCCCTGCCCTTGTTTGTTTATAAAACTTATAAAGTTTTAATAAGTTTAATAAGTTTTAAGAAGGAAACTGTTCCTGGTTGTTGGTTCAGAACAAAGGGAGACTCTCCCAAATGGTTGGAGCTTGGAAGACGAAGCTATAAACCCAAGGCTGTTCTCCTTCCCACAGTTGAGGTTTTTATAAGTTGCTCCCCGTCTGTCTATGACCTTATTTCATTTGGGAGGAATCGTCAGACACGCAGTGAACACGGGGCCGCCGTGCGCTTCCTCCTCTTATTTCGCAGAGTATCCGGAGGGGAACTTTTTGATTTCCTGGCCCAGAAGGAGTCGCTGAGTGAGGAGGAAGCCACACAGTTCATTAAGCAGATTCTGGACGGGGTCAACTACCTGCACGCAAAGAAGATCGCCCACTTTGATTTAAAGGTGAGGAGCGGCTGCCGCCCTTTTCCTCCTGTCCGGACAGTCCAGCCGGGGGTGCAGCCCCCCTGAGCCNGCTCTGCCCTTCTCTGCTTTCCTCCCCCTCCTGAAGCCTGAGAATATTATGCTGCTGGACAAGACCCTCCCCATCCCTCACATAAAACTGATCGACTTTGGTCTGGCCCACGAAATAGAAGACGGAGTGGAGTTTAAGAATATTTTTGGGACGCCAGAATTCGTAGGTAAGTTGGTGCCCTTTTGCACTCCCCTGATCCAGGGCCCAGGGTGGCAAGCTCCCTCAGTCCGGGGGCCCTGCCTCTGTCTGCCAGGAGTGCAATTTCCTTCCTGGCCGAGGATGATGGGTCCCGTCTGTCCCTAGCACGTCTGAGAGCCTTCAAGTCGGGGCAGGAAGCCTTTGACTCTCTGACCCCGGGGTCCCCACTCTCCTTCCAGCTCCAGAAATCGTAAACTACGAGCCGCTGGGACTGGCAGCTGATCTGTGGTGAGTCTTGTCTGCCTGTGTTGGCTGCCCCTCCCGCCTCCTTCCTGACCCTGGTCCCCTTCGGTTGGTCCGGCTGACGGTTGCCTGCTGGGTCGGAAAGCAAATCAGCCAAGAGAAGAGAAGTTTGCTGTTGTTTTCCTTACGGCCCACCCGAGTGAGTGATTGGCTTTAGCCTAAATCTCTGTGTGTGTTTCTTTCTTCTCCCCTTTTCCCCAGGAGCATCGGAGTCATCACTTATATATTGTAAGTACTGGATTATTCGTTCCCCTTATTTATTCTACTATGCATTCATCTCTTCCCTGCTATTTTCAACTCCACATTTCCTGCAAGAGGTACAATCAGTGCCCCTCCCCACTTTATCCTCACAACGACCCAGTGAGGTCAGCCACTAAGAGAGGAAGAATCCTGTCTCAGGCAGCTGATGGCAAAAGTGGGCTCCATTCCCCCAGCCCCTCCCGAGAAGGAGGCTGCACAGGCACTGGGAGGGGAGGGAATTATGGGGAGGGGCTGGGAGAAAAAAGACAAGAATTGAGCTGCAGAACAGAAGAGGCCGAAACGGAGGAATTAGGCAGATNCACACACACACACACACACGGTCTCGCTGCTGCTGCTGCTCCTCTGAAGCCGTGTCAGGAGGGAGGGGCCAGGGCTGGGCATCCTCTCCTCGGAGGGCTCTTTCCGGAGGTTTCCCGGGGGGAATCTGGGGGCTGCCCTTTGCCCCTTGGCTCCGTCACCCCCCCGTCCGGCTGTGGCTCCCTCAGAGGGGCCGGTCTTCCGCTTGGCCTCACTGGGACCCTCCGAGGGACGGCCTCTCATTCCGGGCATAGCTCCCTTCTATCTTTAGCCTCTGGGAGGGTCACTCTGGCCATAGGAAAGGCAGCGGGGGGGGGGGGGGAGAGGAGGCTGGCTGGATCAGCTTCCCCCACCCCCACCCCCAGGCCTCTTGTGCAGCACCAGGGAGCCTGGCTGGCAACGGGGGCGGGTGGGGGGGCAGCCTTGGAGTTGGCCAACCCAATCCAGCTTCCCGGAGTGCCAGAAGGGCGGCCGAGGGGGGCCACGATGTCTGGGCACTGCTCAGCCTAGGGGGCCCTGCTCCCGCAGGGGGAAAGAACCCCCCCTCTCATGGCCATGGGGGGGAGAGAACCAGCCGCCTCGCTTAAGGAGGGACCAATCTACCGGGGGGAGGGGGTGTGTCTTAGGGGACCCCTTTGACAGAGGAGCAGCCAAAACAGATTTGCCCTAACAGACCTGGGAGACCTGCTTTTGGGGGGGCTGGCTGACCCTTTTAGTGGGTTCGCACAGCCACAATGATGGTTTCAGCCTCCACGCTGGGGGTTGCAATCTACGGTGCGACTTCGACCCCCCCCCTCGGTCCCTTTACCTCTCGCCTTTATGTAGGAAGGCCTGCCATCTCCTGCGGTGGGGGCCTCTAACCGGGTGACCTCAGCTAGGTTGGATAACAGGTCCCATCGTCCCCAGCCAGCCTAGGTGGGCCAAGGAGCCTGTTTTGCAGCATGTGAATGCTCTCCTGCTGAGGTCACCTGGCCAGCGTAAAGAGGGCAGCGGCTGGACAGCCTCCCCCTGTCCCCTGGGGCTCTCGGACGGGCTCTGGGTGGTGCCACTGCAGCTGCCAGTCCCCCACCACCACCACCCCCGGGTCCCCCCCACCCGGCTTTCCTCTCTGCTTTGGAGCTGAGCATCGCTTTGGCCCAGCCGGGATTTTGCGTTCCCAGCTTGGAGCAGCTGCCTCTGCTGAGCATCGGGGCTCTTAAGGCGCCTCCAAAAATACCCACTGCCCTTCATGCCCAGCATGTGACGCTGATGTTTAGATGGCATGCGGGCTGCAAGAGCTGCGTTCTCGGCCGCCTGTCATCTGAATATGCTTTTCCCAGTTCAGATGGGTTTGTAACCCGGGTCTCAAGTGCCGAGAGCTCTCAAGTTCCCCAGTTTCAGACAAGGGTGGGGGGGGCTTCTGCTTATTCCCTGCCAGAAAGAGCCCCCACCCCACCCCTTTGTTTATTCCCCAGAGGCCCTGAAGCCTAGCGCCATCTGGTGTCTCAGTTGCATCCCTGCACTGCCCACCCAGCCGGTGCCTAGTGCCCCTGGGACCTTTGAGAGCTGGGATATTCTGAGGAGGGGTCGGAGGGGGGAGGGGGGCTTTGCCTGTTCTCCAGCCTCCCCAACTCTGGAGCCCATCGGAGGAAAGTTTCTGCAGCTGCTTCCTCCGTGTTTGGCCTGGGCTCCTTTTGAGCTGCTTCCTGCAAGGAGGCCCCTGGGGGCCTATTTCTCCACACCTGGAGGAAAGAGGGAGCCCCCCCCCTCATCTGGTTTCCTGTTTCTGACTTTGGCCTGCCGGGGGGGGGGGGGCGACCTTGGGACTCCGATGGGCAGCTGGGCAGAAAGGCTGCCCCGTCCAGCCTTGTCAACCTTTCTCCCCACAATGAAAAGCAACGTGTCCTTTCTAAGTGGGTTGTAAAACTAACCTACTACAAATTGGCCCTTCACGATCTGACACTTTTATTGCTTGGCTGTGTTGGTCTAAGATCAGATAAGATCGCACAGCTCCCAGCGTGTTTTTACTTGCAAATATCTTAGAGTCTCTAACTGCGTCACAACATGGCGTCGATCTATATTCCCAAGGGCTCATTTCAAATACTTTTTTCTGCATTTCAAAAGCTGTTTGATTCACATCAAAGATTTGAAAAAAAAAACCTGGATTATTTGACATTAAAATATGAATGAAAAGGTGAGAACGTTGAATGTTTGAATGTTCCTGAAATACAAATGAAAAAGGTGGGAAATGACGTCTGATCTATCTCGGAGGAAGAAAGAAATGCAATGCTGGAAAGGGGGGCAGTACAGAAGATTCATTTTAAGAGACAGAGCGCAGGAGAAATGAGAAGTATTAAATAATCTACACTTTATGAAACATCATTGGCAGATTTCTTAATTCCACCCTTGAGAATTA